AAAATATGCTCTATCTTTTTCTAACAATATTGACTCCGGTATACCACCGGAGGCGGGGTGTGTGAGAAGGGCAATCCATTTCTTTATAGGTCTATATGATTTTAAAACATCATACCTATAGTTACAAGTTACAACAGTATACCTTTTACTTGAATACTTAAAAATAGACACAAAGAAAATTCTCGGCTTGCCATTCCTCGGGTATTTTTTAACGGTCATTTTTACAACGGGTATTTTTCCCTAGATTTATTTTACCAAATATACATATTTATTTTCAATTTTACATTCTGTAGGTGGCAAATCTTCATTAAAATTACTAATATAACGAGACTAAAATTCAATTCCGTTTTCTTAAGAACTCAAAACTCAATAGAATTTCCCATTTAATTATTGGCAGTTATAACAAAGAGATGTTTCTTTTTTCAGATATTTTCTGTTGATCCATCATTATTATTTGAACGTGTCCAAATTTTGTTTTACACGGTGTAGTCATAATAGTTGTAACATTAATAATAATATTAATTTTTAAACTACGACACGTGAGGCATCGCACAGTTACGCCTATAATCCCCTTAATTTGCTAAGTGAATTGTTTTTATCATAACCTTTCAATGAAATAAAATAAAATGTTATTATTTTTTTATTTTCTTATCCACCTATCGATTTCTAAAAGAATACAGGCAACGGGACGACCTGTTTTGGTTCTAAAAATTAACATCGTAATGCGTTATCGTTGGTGTTATTATTATTATAGACATCATTGCGTGGTCGACGACCGAGGCAAATTCGCGACACGAATCACTAAATACGCCTAAGATGCGATGGGCATAAACCGTACACGCTCGATCCTTCACTTCCTGGAAGTAAAATGTATACCTCATAAATACAAGACTCGAGTCTTGTACATTTCCAATGAGGTTGTGCAGGTAAGTATATGTTCGTTTATATCTACCTACAGTCTACACTCTACACGTATAATGACGGCGAGGACAGAAATCATTATGGAATACAAATAAAATATAGATATACATATTATTTACTCTTTGCGGATCGACCGAATCGTGCGACTCGTTATGCAGGGAACGCTATTCGACAACCTTCGAAACTTAACACCGTATTCGTCAAACCGATCCACATATTGAGACTTTTATTATCATCTGCAACCGCGAGGTCCACGTTAGACCTATTTAACCGATGAGAAACGCGTTATTTGAACGGTTTTAACACAAATAATTGTTTTGACAAAAACAATTTGTATAGAATGAGCGTATCTATGTCTATGCGTGCGTATAGAAATCAGAGGCGTCAAGTAAAACGACTAATTATTATTGCAATCAACGTGCACCGTCCGTCCGTCGAAACATTGACATTTGCCAAAAATAATATTAATACTCGGTGGCAAGTCCACTTTCGTTTCAACCGGTATATTTTACTGGTAAGATTGAGGAAATGTGCGCACGATTATCTCGCCTGCCATCGTGTGGCAGAGAACAACTTAGCTAAATATACAGATTACAGTTTTAGTTGATAAACGTGAAACAGTACAAAAATAAAATATAAATGGTACTATAACACTAACATATTAAGATACAAAATAACTATTATTTTAAAATTTGAATTTGTTGCATTACAAGTTATATAAAAGTAATACGAACAGTGTTTTACATTTTTGTTTGTCCTTCGTGCAACAACGCTCAAGTGGCAAGCAATTTATAGGCAAATCGAAACGTGTCGCTTGTAATTGAAAGTAAAAAATGTCTATATCATTAATACATGATAGAAGAGGTAAAAAATGTTAAGAACATGTGTTTACTGTTATTCAGTATTAAGCTCAAGGACGCATGAAAGCCTTAGTCCAATCATTAGTATAGGGATAAGTTTTCTACCTATTCTTAGTTATAACTTATAAGTAAACATCACTCATCAATTAGGATGATATTGAAAGACGAAGAAGCTACTTTACTATTTTTTTTTTTTGTTATAATTATAATCAACGATGGTATATAACATCCAGATTGCCGACTCTTATGTAGTTATAATATAAGGATATATCGTATAATGTAGATGCAAATAAGCTATAAAATAAAACAATAATAAACTCGTATTGTTGTCTCAGGGACGATCACTTCTCTAGATCCCTAATATACCAAATTTAGCATATTGATGACATTTTTAATTTTCAAAAAACTGAGTATTATTTGTTTATACGTATTACTTAAGTTTTATATCATTTGTAAGAATGGTTAACTACTGTAAATCTTATTTCCAGTAGTGTAAGTATACGTCACACAGTTAGCAGTTTTTCAACACTTAAAAGCTGCCAGCTGGTGATTAAAAGATACATTACATAGCGTCGCCTCTATAATGTAGGTCGTTTGTTTTTAAATCCTAAAAACAAAAAGCGTTGTAATCCATATAATATGTAACACTATTATTCCACATACCCGAAGGGTACTCCTCGAAATTGATACTCGTATATCACGTGTGTGTGTGTGTGTGTCTTTTGATTTCATTATTCACGGTCGTGATCAGAACGCGACGGCCGCCGAGGGAACGCCCACATGTTACGGCATTATACTGTAAGTGTACACATACAAAATCCATTTATACACATTCAGGTACATAGGTACAGGCACGAATGTTTTTCAACCGTATCTTGCGGACAGACCGTTGGACATATTGTGTATGCGCTGGCGAAGAGAATGGTTCGAGCTTCTTGCAATGCAATATAGTGGGCGAACGCGCTAAAAATACTATATACTGGTTCCCGATCGCCTTGTATGGACAACAATTCTCTGTAGATTCCATATTACGATATCGGGGTTTTATGGTAAAATACAAATAAAACACATTTAAATGTTCCACGACAATGCAATACTAATACTTCTTATTATGACGAACCCGCACAAGGTATAGGTTTACACAAAAACATAAATTAATCGTACACAATTTATTATGTTGTAATACTAACTAAATATGATGTCATATTTTTTTTAAGGTATTACCTTAAAATTTAAAGAATTAACACGATTAAAAATAATTAATATTAAGTGAACTCAAAAAAGTTGAATACGTGTCTTAAAGTTTAATAAAAGCGTTTAAGTTTTAAAACACTTTAAGTTTTAACAAAGATTTTGAGATTTGATACTTTTTAACCGTCATGGATCGTCATAATATTTTTTTTTCTTGGCCGCTCTTATAACAACTAGATAAACAACATACGAAGACTTCTGACCGTTAAGCCTTATAAAAAAAAAAACTTACAAACATACCAAACAAATATCATTAGCCGGTCATTCTATGTTTACACATCAAAGTATACTCGTCAAAATGTTCGGTCACCTACTTAGGCATAATTCGTTTATGACAAATATATTTGAAGGACGAATAAATGGACACAAAGGTAGAGGCAGACCGAGGAAGGCATATATAGAAGAAATGATAAGACAAGCTGACTGTAGTCGATACAAGGACGTGAAAAGACTGGCTTTTAACAGAGAAGAATGGAGAACCAGATTTGTAACGACAAGGCAAGGCCTTTAGTAGAGAAGAAGAAGTATACTCGTCGACAGACTTTTAGTTTTATAAAAGGCACTCAGTGATTTCTTTATGTATACCGTATACATGTCGCAAATGTCTTCAACAGTTAGGGTTAACTTGCCGCGTTGTACATGCAAACCGCGATTAGTCGACGTCAGTGACATTGGTTAAATTTCTTGCGTTTGTGGTTAGCATTACCCATACGGACGTATAAACAATTACTATTATGTTTATCGAACAATTAACGTCCCCATGAAAACGTGATAAAAAGTCTATAAACCGGCTAGGCATGAGCTGTTTCAACTGTATCAATGTGAATTATATACACATTGCGGGATACGAGAAGAACACAGAGGTGGTTTTTGAGCCTTGAACTCGTGTTAACCCAAAACAAAGGATATGGTAGGCAGTCGTTTACTGTGTTAAAGAAGTATAATCAAAAGACGACCACCTTTATCGATAATTATAAGTGTCTGTGCCTGTCTTATACACAACTTGTACACTGGTTTTGTGTGAACGATCTTAAGTAACACCCAAAGGATGAACTAAAGTATAGGTATATCCCTAGTAGTAATAGTATATGAATGTCGTAGATAAACCTAACGAAATAAGCATTGCATGAAACCTGAAGATACAAACACGGTCGTGCAGCAGTAATCAGCCAACGGGAGGGTTAAACGAATAATATCAGTAAATATTAGATCATAATAATAAATTGGCATAGTATTAAAAACCAACAAAACACATTAAAGTGTAATTAATTGATAAAAACTAAACGACAATTCGATATCTTCTTAGTCCCTCTATTCTATAGTATGCTACTTACTGGCCCATCATATGTTAGTTTTGGAATTTCTTAGTAAATATGTCCTATATGGTTGGTTAACTAAGCTTGTCCAGCCTAGTTAACCAAACGTTGGGCGTTCTAGGTATTTATGGCTAGCTTGTTCCTTTGATCTAAGGCTATCAATGAAAAAATCTCACGACGGCACGGACACAGCTCTTATCAACAATTGAAAAAAAAAATTAACAACATTTCTCATTAAAATAATTCTACTCAATTGAGTGCCACCACTCAATTTAATCAGACATGTAGGATTTTCAAATAAAATAAGTTAGTGTTATCAGACAAAACAAAACACGAAGCTTAAAAGGCTCAAGAGAATAATTATTGCCCCGTCCCCTTTGCACCTGACTACTGTATTGCACCTCAGTTTCATTATGGTCTATGAAATGTTCTTTTAACACGTACTATGTTTTATGTTAATCCTTAGATATCAGGTGATTGAACACTTAGAATGTAGGTATGCTTGGGAAACTACAGAGCTTGCTTAAGCTTAGCTAAAAGGTGAAATGGACGACAAAACTGCCCTAACCTAACCTACCGAAACCAACCATATATGTTCTATTTACAAACATACGTCCTTACAAATAACCATTTAATTTAAATTATTTTTTACCTTTAACTGTTGTCAATATTTTTACAGACACGTTATCCAAAAAATGAATGCCGAAACTATCAAACGCTTGCGGTCTTGTAAACGTTTCACATTACACAAACGCGACCGGTATCTAACAGAATAAAAATCGGTTTGAAAAAAACAAAAATGTTATTTGCAATAAAAAAGTACGACGATTTTTTAAAGATTTGTTATTCAAATATATTATTAAAACGGCGTGGGAACGAACAGACGAACATAGATACGTCGGCGACGGCTGTGTTGACTGACTGACTGTCGGTCGGTCGGTTCGGAGAGAGCTACTACTTGGCTAACCTCTCTTCTTCGTCACTCTGTCTGCCACACCACACAGTTTGCTGGTCCGGTTTTCTACAACGACGTGAGCCACACTAGACGTATTATACCACCGTTTTACATGAAATAATTTACATAGAGAAATAATAGTAGATAGAAGTAAATAAAAAAACAACAATATTAGGTATTTCGACAGATAGATTTTAATTTTTGAATGATAAAATTCTCTGTAAAATTGCATAGTCAAGAGTAAAATTTGTTCACATAGTACTACAGTTAGGGAACACCTAAAGTTTTTTAATTTGTCTCCATGATATTCAATGTAGAGTACAATTAATATGCCTTAACTCTTGGCGGAGCGGCAACTGTTTAACCTACAGCGGATGACATTACGCGCCTAATGTACATAAGAAACGGTTATGATTTTTATAATTTGAAGTACATTTCCCCTGTTAAGTTTGAAAATAACTTATTGTATTAAAACTCTTATTAAAAAAAATCAAGTTTTAAAATGTTAACTTCACATCCCTTATTTTGGCTGCCATTACCCGTGTGATTTTTAAAAATATTAATGGTGTTTGTATTCACAAAAAAAAACTTTTGAAAACATGCTTTTCTGTTGAGGGAAACTCTATTACAGGGCTGAGGCAGTTTTTCATTTAAAAATGCTCTAACTGATAGGCTCCAGTGGGGAGGTGCCTCATCTTGTCGAAGAATTAATTCGTTTGAATCAGCTTCCATTAAAGGGAAGAGCCAGTTTCGTAGCATATCCTCGTAGGTTTGCCATGTAACAGAGTTTCCTTTGAAGAAAAATGGGCAAAACTGGGAGAACAGAGAAAACTTTTACCTTAGGATACTGATGCACCTGGCGCAGTTACGTGGCAACCATCTGAAACTTAGAAACCTAGGTCCTAATCTTTCAAACAGCCACTCCCTCATTCTGATTCATACATTTACTTAAAAATATTTAATCATAGAATCGGTTAATTCTTTTTGAATCGCCCTGTATAATATATATAAATAGAACTTAACATAGATGGCCATATTGTTTAACAAAAAATAAATGCTTATTTTTTAATCGAGCAAAAAACTTATTATTTACTCAATAATCTATTGTAATTTTTAATACGTACATAAATACAGAACTTTCATCGGTGCATTATTGTATAATGACAGGAAGTCACTTAATATAAATCTATACTAAATAAAAAAAACCTTGTTTCCGTTAAAGGAGCACACAACACAAAACAATTTTTTTTTTAATTATGATTAAATGTTAAATTATTGTAGTCATAACTATCAAAAACGATTTGGTCACAATTCTAAGCAAAAAAAAAATTATTATTTAAGGAGATATTAGGATATTTAGAATAGCAGCGTGACGTCATTGGGCTAAGCTCGCCGAAAATTGTATTTTTGATATTTAATTAACACATAGAGCTCATATTGATTATTGAGCAATATTTACATAGTGAGCTCGGCCCAATGACGTCACGCGTCTTTTTTCAATGTTCCACTCATTGAATATTGTGAGTAGGAACGTCAAACCTAAATCATTTTTCTTAGAATTAAACGTTCTTTTAAATTAAATAAACTTATTTTTTGTGTTTTGTGCTATTTTAGTAAAATATTTTTTAATCCACCAAAAACATCGAAGAAATCGAGTATTGTCAACCGAGTAAATTATAACCTTCCTAAAACTGGTCGTAGGTACTCACTACTGGTAGCACCATTATAATATTGACCGTGATCAGACGCACCTTTCAGCTAGAACAGATTGCATAAACTATTCTCAGCATGGCGATTGTTAATTACCGAAATTAAAGGTTAATTATTTGTGTATTTTCATATGATATATCTATATGGAAGCTGTTCCATCACTCAAGTAACCTTACACTTGTTGCAATTTATCACAACATCTGAGTTCTGGCATTTATTTGCACAAGTAATTCTAAACAACCTTTTTTACAAATATGGTTTCCTAAAAATACTACTTTTAGTCGATAACTAGCTATAAATAATTATTCTATGAGGTACAGTCATTGTTTTTCAATTCAAGAAAATAAAATCAATCTATAATAGGGCCGGATTAAGTGGAGAGCACGCTGAGTCAAGGCCCCACGACTACCAAAAAACGTTTTTTAATAGTTCAATACTTAAGAATAAATTGTGTATCTAAAGGCTTTATTATACATTTAATTTTTTTTGTTTACAGCATTAAAATTATAATTATCATATTAGCATAGTATTTTTAGAGCATGTTGTAACGGATGGACACAACCCATAATACCACGGAACTAAGAAAAAATAAACCTATTTTCAACTAAATAAAATGTGCATTGTAATAATATATTTAATAGCCAACTTATGTTAAACTTATAGTACAAGTTAAGCAATACACATAAATAAATAGTTTTGATTGGTAACTTAATCGTATTGTGTGAGAAATTAAACCTAAAAAATCACGTGTAGCTTCGCCTTTATCAAACTCTGTACAAAGAGTTTTCGATGTGGTTTGCATTTTTTGATAACTAGATAAATTAATTTTTGAAGCAAAATTTTCAATTTTATACTGCTCAAACATAGGTCAGCAGTACTCAAACTTAATCAGCAGCTACTTATCTTACCTCATTTTTTTTTTATTTGTGTCAAACTAGAAGAGTGGATATGACTATTTCTACAGCTTTGAAAATTGAAGATTAATTCAATATGGATAGGTTAGGTTAAGTCCAAATATTAAATCCATTTTTAACTTCTAGTTTTAATTACCCCGGTTATCAAAATAGCTTTATATTATGACATGCATAATATGTCCATTGTTAACAAAATAGTGTTACAAAAGCTACACTATATTGTATCAGTCGGCCGGTGTATAAAACACAGGTATTGTCTACCGTAATACGCTTTATACTCATTTGCAACATAACAATGCCCTGCACTATAGTATTATAACATTTTATTGTGTACAGATAAGTCGTTTTATTGAAGGGGCGTAGATGATAATACAAATATGTGTGGCAAGCCGAATAATTATTACACTATTACCTTTTCGAGAAGCTATTGTTTTTTATTTGCCTTACCGACTTCATAAATATTCAAATGCAGACTTATCACACATACACATACAAACAGCCAAACAAAAATATATAGAATACTTAATTATAGACTATACAGTATATAGTAGAAATTGAAAAAAGTGTACCAGTTTCAATAATAACTGTAGACTATAAGCAGGAACCTACCTATTAACTACAAAATGTCTACTACCAACCTTTCCCTTATCAAAGTTATGCTTTTTGAGTAGGTGTCAAATGTCATTCTATATTTTATATTAATATCTATATTTGTATATTGTAATGATATACATATTATGTAATAGTACCTACAGTAACAATTGACAATAAAATATTAATGTTATTATTATTACTACCGAAATTCCAAAACTGTTGCTTGATATTAGATGTTATGTTCCATATTCAATAATTTGCCAAAAACCACGGACTACGACAGGGGCGTATTTATGGGGGTGGCTGAGGGGCTCCAGCCCCCACCCCAAAAATTTTGTGTAGTCTGCCTATGACCTATATGATGTGAATTGTGGAAGTTTAATATTGTCAAGTGTTTATTAAGTGTTAGTGCCTCAGCCCTCTCCCCCCCCCCCAAAAAAAAAAAATATATCTAAATATGCCCCTGGACTACGGTTTGATGCAAAGGCACAACGGCGGTAAGATTAAGTTATGAATGTGTTGAAACTTCCATGGATTGAAAAATCATCTACATAAGTTAGGTTAGAGTCAAGCGATCAATCAGGAGAAATAATAATATAATATGTCACGTAATTTTTAGATGAAAGTATGCGTTTTTACGGTTTCTTAAATTGACAAAAAGATAATAATTATAACGTTATTAAATAAAAATTTTTTTTTTTAATAATTATAAAATAATTATCAATTATCATGAGTATCAACTGAGTAATAAAATAAAATATACAAGACAATAACAATATTTATATAACTGTTCGCGTTGTACGCATGCGCGAAACATGTGACTGGACGTTAAACTCGCAACAGAAAATTATTGTTTCTAACAACTTGACAACATGTTGCAGCGCTGATGGAACAGAAACCATTTTGTTAGATGTTTCCTATTTACTCTGCTGAAACACGTATTCGACTTTGCGCATGCACCGAAAGTTTACAACACTATGCTGGAACAAAGCTAATATTAGTAGGTATATTAATACATATATATTACATATTATATTGTAGAGATGCAGTCTCGAAAATGTTAACAGGTTCTTGTTCTACACAGTTATTATGATATAGTTTATACCTACTAGAGTGGTCTTTCTCACTAATAATGGTGGATAGTTATTACAAATTAAGCTTCATTCCAAAAATTATCAGTAGATAATCACATTAATCAACTTTTTTTAGGGTGTAATTATTAACGTATACAATTTTTTTAATGTGTTCTAGCCATTTTGGTGTTAAAAAGTACTTCTCAGAAAATTGTCCCACGGCTTAAAGATTGGTCTGATCACTTTATTTATGTTTGACAAGAAAGACTTTTTACGGGACGATTTACACTATATTATCAAAAACGGCAATATGAATTATACTAATTTGTTAATTACGTTTAATTCATCTTTATTTTAGCGTTCAGAAATTTAATTCTAGGAATTAATATGAAAAGTTCAATGTGTTCAACATTATTTTATCTCATAACAATAAGAAATTCATAGGTACCTATACTCTATCAGAATAAGAACAGGCTTCGGCGGCCGACTTGTGCGCATGGGCGTGGCTTCGCTACGAGCAACGGACCTCGAACACTGCCGCCGGTGGGGGCTACGGACGAAATGTAAAATGGGCGGTGCCTGACCGCCGCCCGACGAAAATTGGTCGGCCGCCGAAGCCTGTTCTTATTCTGAATAGAGTATGTATTGGAAAATAAATGCGTGTATCATAGGTATCATAGCTAGTAATATTATATTATGCTAAGAATATTGTTGTAACATTTTCATGTTTATAATTAATATCCCATACCTATAATACCTATATTATATAAAATTATAAGCCGTTATTTTTTTAAACCAAAAATGTTTTGTCCCCATAAACATTTTATCAAATTGCCATTTGTTCCAAAATATAGGATGAATTGTTTATTGGAACCATAGATAATTATAACAAACTAGATTGCTAACTGTACATGCACCAATAGAGAAGATTGAAGGCATTCGGTCATGGGTTCCCATGGTCAAAGGTTCCCAAATGATAACAGGTTTGTTATCATGTTACCACTATGGTTATAACGGTCCCGCTCTACCCCGCAATTCGTGGTCCTTTTTTTTTTACTTGGTTTTAACCATGTTATACGAATTGAAGAATAATTCTATAGGATGGCTTGGGACCTATGACCGCTTACAAAGATTGAAGCAGCCACTTTCCGCCATATTAGTGGGAATTAGAACCTTATCACGCGAGAATAATATATGTTTATAACAATTGCATTTATATATACAGATATATATTATATGCATTAATAACACACATAAATCCCACCAGAATGGCGGGGACCGTCGGCTTCAATTCTTATCGCTAGTTAGCAAACTAGTTTATTATATATAATTATATATATGATTGGAATAAGCCATAATCTTGGATAATAGTGTTTATGGAACAAATGTCTCATGGAATAAAACATTTGTGGAACCTCCACCGACTTAAATTTTGAGAGTGCCCACTCCAGCTGATAATGCATTAGGAATAAATCTCTTAGAATAAAAAAGTTGTTGTGGTCCCATTTTTACCATGATAATTAACTGATGTTTTGCTGTAGTGTTGATGTTTTGTAAACTTATCTCATCGTATTATATACTATTATGAATAAATGAGCTATTATATATTTTAATAATGGTAGTATATACTATATATTTTATGGGTATTTCATTATCCAAATAAATAAAAATTATACGTAAAACATTTATTTAAACTTTTCTTTTATAACTTATTATATGGTGAAGTTTTTGTTCCTAGATAGTATAAATAATTCTTAAAAGAAATCAGTGGTACAACTAATTCAGGTAATATTGTATTTGTTGCTTTAAAACAAAAATATATCAACTACTATATTTAACTTTCATTTGTATGATAAACAATAATGACTTATAATATTCTGTAGAGAAGTCTAGAGAAGAGCTATGCACCGTTTTGTAAGACATTTTAAATTTAAGGAAACATATTTTAAACAAACTTTTTATGCTTGATAGATAAATATCAAAGCTATTATATTAATTTATATCATTATCAGCTTAACAGACCCTTAAGGCCCAACGCTGCCATCATTTGATAATGGTTTCTAGACAAATTTGTTGCCAGAGAGGAGTGATGGCGATTCTTTTTTTACCAGACGATTTCTCGGCCAGCAAACAGTCTGTGATCTCTTTAGGTTGATGACTGCTTACAGAGTAGTATCAGTTAAGCTTTTTTCCACTTTAGGCAAGATATTTATTTCTCTTAGGGATGTAAGTCTCCATTCTAAAGAAAGTCTTATAGAAACTCAAGTCGGCTCCTGAAGCATGCGGACATAGGGTGTCCCTTAAAATAGTGGTCATGCTGCAGTAGCTAGCAGATGCTTCTATTGTGTTGCTGACAGCTGACCGCAGCATCTCCCTAATATTAGATTGTGAAATAGTCGTCTCGTACAACAATAATTCTTAAAGTTTAAATAGCTATAACTTTTAAACCAGATGAGTCTGCAGATTTCCGACTTCAAATTTGTTAGTACTTATCATATTAAAATACATATGACAACAAGAACAAAATGCATTATTGATTGTTTATTATTTAAATAGTGAACTTGTCAAACGTCCTAAGTGCCAAAGTATAAAAATTTAACTTTATAATTTGATTTCTATTTTAGTCATTACCAGAAACAATTTTGTGTATTTGTCAAGTGAGGAATAGTTGTAAAAAAACAATCATATTTAACACTTAAAAATATGTTGAAGTGTTTCCGGTAATGAATATAATACAAATTAAGTTATAAAGTTCACTGTTTATTTATTATGTTTTTTTGTTTTCAAAAGAGACAGACTTCCGATTTATTATTCAACTACCAAAACTAACAAAAATGCTGTAGAACTTAAAATTTTATTATAGCTTGAGAAATTGAACTTGAAAACCCAGGGGTCTTAGAGTATTAAGTCTTTTGCGTTAAAAGAAAACCAAATATTTTTGTAAAACCAAAACAACCTAAGGGGTGTTATAATTTTTATCGTAAAGTATAAATAAAGTATAAAGTATTAAATATAGATTAATTAATAATGTTTCTTATAGTTGTTTTGTTTAATTGCAGACAAAATAGCTGTAATATTTGTACAAAGTTTAAAGTTCTTGATGTGCCCATAGCTGATCTAGTATTTTTTTAATTATGTAATATGTATGTAAATATTTTAATAAAGGTGACATTTGAGCAGTCCTTCTGTTATGTTGAATCATAGTTGTGTCATAGATGTGTACTACTAAAAAGTCTCTTATTGTCCCAGTTTTCGCTACTCTGAAATAATAATTGTCTATATTGTCGAGTAATTATGATTTTTTTCTTTAGATAAGATGTCGAAAACTATGAGCAATTCTGGTAAAAAAGGACAATCAATCAGACGATCTTTGAGAAATGTTGATGTGGAAAATATTAATAAAGAACTTGCCAAAGTTAATGAATGTAAAACCAATGAGAATTATGAAACAATAGGTCAAATCAATTCCAACACTGCTAAGTTGTCAAAAAAAAAGATTTCTAAATCAAACTTGAAGATAAAATCAGGCAAAAATAATAAATACATTGATGATTCTGAGTCAGATGATAACCAAAGTACTGCTAATAAGTCAAAAGAAAGTATCCCTAAATCAAATTTAAAAAAAAAATCAGGCAAAAATAATAAATACATTGATGATTCTGAGTCAAATGATAATGTTGACGAACTGACAAAAACTGATGACGGTAAACCCAGTGAGAATGATGAAATATTGTTTCATTTGAGCAATTCTGGTAAAAAAGGACAATCAATCAGACGATCTTTGAGAAATGTTGATGTAGAAAATATTAATAAAGAACTTGCCAAAATTAATGAATGTAAAACCAATGAGAATTATGAAACAATAGGTCAAATAAATTCCAACACTGCTAAGTTGTCAAAAAAAAAGATTTCTAAATCAAACTTGAAGATAAAATCAGGCAAAAATAATAAATACATTGATGATTCTGAGTCAGATGATAATGTTGACGAACTGACAAAAACTGATGACGGTAAACCCAATGAGAATGATGAATTAATTAATCAAATTGACTCCGATGAGGATACTACTAAATTGTCAAAAAAAAAGAATTCTAAATCAAACTTGAAGATAAAGTCGAGCAAGAATAATGAACACCTTAATGAAAATTCTGTTGACCAAACTGATTCCAATCCAGGTACTAGCAATTCTCCAAAAAAACATAAATCAAGCTTAAAGAGACACTCAGGCAGAAATATTAAATATTGTGATGATACAAAATCTGATGAAACTACTGAAAAATTATTAGACGATAGTAATGAAGAGCATACTGAGGAGTCTTATCTTAAGTACAGTAAAAACAAGAAAGCTAAAAAACCTGTAAAAGATTTTACTACCAAACCAAAAAAAACTGAAACAGCTGATGATAAAAATTCATCAGATGAATTGAGTGATACCGAGTATGAAGTAAATATTTATTCATTATAAAATGACTAGTTTTGCTTTTAAATATCTAAATAATGGGTATTATAATAAAATATATGAGGGGCATAATGTATCACAGTAGTTATGTCTGACACTCGAAACCTAATGTTAAGTTTGTCTGTTGCTGGTTGATTCCCGATGAGTAATCTCAGAGCCTTTAGCAGTAGCCATTGGTGGATCTAACAACTATGCAACACGGACATATCATTGATCAAGGCCTCATAACACTACTTTCATAATGTATTACTCTATAAATTAGTAATAGTCAAATCTTAATACCTCAACTTAAAAGCCTAGGTTTAAACTACAAGAGTCACCTGACCATTGTACAATATCCAGAGGCTCCAGTAATTGTACATTCTGTACACTCAATTTTTTTTGGCAAACTGGTATCTGAGGCTTGTGCACCACATTTTTCAAGGCCCTGGTGGTTTTAATATAAATGTATTTGAACTATTTTTTTAGTTGTATAAATTAATTATAATGAAACCATTAGTTGAGACTAATTGTAATTAAATCAGTCATTTCAAAAACAACACAAGTCACAAAAGTAAAATTTTACACTAGCCACAAAAAAATTCATAACTCCAGAAATTCAACTTATTTTGCATTTACACCTATTAAATAATTTATTTTTAGGGATTCTAATATTCACAATCCATTAAAGTCTAAATAAATTTAAAATTCAATTAAACTGTCATAATAAATATTATAACAAACTGTGTAGCTCATAGGTAAAAAAATATTATATGTTAGTTTTTTTGTTTGAAAGTATAAAAAAAACATTTTGAAGAAACTACAAATATAGTCAATATTGTTGGTGGTTTAGTAAAATTCTTCTTTCAGGTTCAAAAAATTGTAGAGGTAAAATTCTTTAAAAATGGAAAACGTGAATTTTTAATTCGATGGAAAGGCTATAAAGCTGAAGATGATACTTGGGAAAAAGAAGAGAATTTGAACTGTAAGGAACTTCTCCAGACTTTTTTGGAAAATTTGGAACAGGTAAAAAATGTACTGTAGTATAGCTACAATTGTATGCATAATTATATAACTTACTACAAGCAGAGTTAAAATATATAATAAATTTAACACTCATTTAAATTTATTTGTATTTTATAACTCATAGTTGTTTCCAGACAAAAAAAAACACATCATTGTAAAAACGATACCTTCTCAGCTATGTATTGAAAAATACATTTTTGTGGTAGGATAGCCGAAGCTGCTAATTTGTTTTTTTTTTTTCAATTTTGGGGTAATTTTACAGATGTTTTAAAAATATTTATTAGACAAAGTGGTAAAATATTGTATAACTAAGTGCTTTCAATATTAAGCTAATACTTCAGAATAAATTTTGCCAAAAAATACTTAAATTGTATTTTTTCAAAAGTTGAAAAAATATCCATAGTAGCTTCTGCTATTTTACCACAGATTTAATTTTGCTACAATTCACAAAATGGTTATTCCATATTTTTTCAGAATAAAAATTTGATTGATAGAGAATTGCGACAAAAGCGTGTTGCTACAAAACGTTTAATTATGAATGTCGACCATTTAAAAAGAAGAGCAAGCAAGAGACCGCGCATAGAGATGTAAATTTTTTATTATTTTTATAAATCATAGATAATATACTAGGAATGAAAAACTTTTTTAACTTTCTTTGTTAATAAAAAAAAAAATATTTTTATAAATGTCATTTACATTTAAAAAAAATTTGTTCATTAAGTTTTTTTACTATTATAATGAGAATTCACAATTCAAACTCAAATAAAATCAGAAGGGTTTAAATTGACAGTCTAAGTTTTGGAATAGAAATTATTAATTGATTTCAAAATAATTTATGTAATAAATAATTGTTAGCAAACTTTATTATTTTCTGTTTGTTTGAAAAAATACATCATTGTGTTTTTTTAAAAAATCATTTTTAATATTTTTACTATTGCTTTTTTTTTTTTTTTCACCATCATCCTAAACCCTAAATATTAATTGACAAATTAGACATTTTTTCTTATGATTTCGTCATATTATTGGTTACTCATCCTTAATATTGATTTTATAATATTATAATATTGTATTTCTTTTTTCAGAAATTACCAAGAAGATTAAAAAAATATATATGTATATATATATATTTAGCGTACAAACGATTATTTGAAAAGTTCAACTACATGTGTACATATTTCAGTATTTACAGTAATTAGTAGTTTTTGTGTTTTTATACTGTTTGTAAAATAGTATTATATTTCTTTTATACATTTTAAGGGGGCTCCTTAATTAATAAATGGTGTAACATGCAAAGAAAATATTAACAAATTCTGTTTAAACTAATAAGGATTCATATTCTTTTTATTTAGTGTTCTTATATTGATATGTTGGTTTAAATAGTTAATTTATTTTATTTCATAATTTTATTATGTATAATATTTTATTAATAAATGAATAAAATAAAATTTAGTTCATATATATATATAAGTATTAAATAGTCTTTGGTATGTAATTTATATATATTTATGTATAAACTACAAGCTAAATGTAATAATACATTATATTTTGAATAACTTATAAGTGCTGAATCCAAAATACTAAAATTTAATTTAATTTTTGTTTTGTAAATCAGAATTCAGAAAACACATAATATAATTAAAACTTAGTATTTATGTTCAACGGTTATAAGATATTTAATATGCTGTAACACTCCACCCTTGCCTTCAAAGCCGTTGTTTGCTATTACGACCATATTTTTAAAGTGAAGAAATAAAATATTGCAATATTTAAAAAATAATAATAACAACATTAGCATTAGCGTATTAGCGTTTTTTATCATTTTTTTATAATGTAACATTATCAGCCATAACCCATATCTTCATTCAAAATAAAATCTTTCAAACTCATCCAGCTGAGAATTTAGGAAATCTTACTATTAAAAACTGGTTTTTTATTTTAAAAATTAAGAAAGTTCTCTAATTGAAGTACCTAAATACTTTAATAAATTTCAAAAAATACTACCGACATTTTTTATAGTATTGTTTGAACAATTTTCAATATTTGGTGATGGGCTATCTGTGGATAATAATCGGCTAGTTTTTACACTAAAACTTCGTTATACTCTTTATTTTAAATAAAATGTGAAATAATATTAATTTTGTTTGCTTCCCACGAAACAATGACTATAAGTCCTATTACACAGAATTTCGCTGGCATCATTGGTAATTGCATTGTATAACTGTCTCCCACAACAATTTTACTTGGTTAAATGTTTCTATTGAAAGGTTTCATTATTAAATTATAATCATTTAATAGTGAATGTTGTTTGTTATTCATGGTTCTTACTTAAAGGGAACGGAAAGTGTTAATTTTTTTACAAAAAAAGATTAAAACCACGAAGTCACTTTCTGAGGTGTCTGCCGGACCGATTTTTAAAAAAAATGTTATAAAGTTTACATCTTTTCTATGGGGACTAAAAGCCGATTTTTTTTTGCTATCAAAAACATTTAGATTTTTACTTTTTTATAGTTTTTTTCTAATAAATCTAATTAATTGTCTAATTGCTAAATCAAAAATCGGCTTTTTAGCCCCCATAGAAAAAATATTAAGCTTCTCTCCAAAAAAAAAGGAAAATTGCAGTCCGTCCAATAGATACGCCAGAAAATTACTTCTACGAAAGTAATTTTTTAACAAACTTTCGTCATAATTCGGAAAAAAATAACTTTAAAAGTATTATAATTAGAAAAACTTAAAACAATTTCACCTTAAAATTAGTCAGCATATTAAAAATGGCAACTAGATAAATTTTTGTCAAATATTGCCTATCCTTTGCCCCTTAATAAAGCAAATATATTATATAATATTTATATAATACTTTATTCGTACTTATATATAAAATTGACCCTTTTGACAAATAGGTACAAAAATGTAGATATAGCACTTAGGTTATTTAGGCATTTTTTTGTGTTACATATTTCTTTATATTATGTTTAGGTATTGGCGCAAGGCGAGGTAAGGGACCCTAAAAATTTTTTTTGTAAGCCTCTCCCCTCCTCAAAAAAAAAAAAAAAAATTTTCGAAATTAACATACCTACTATTGTTATTTATAATTATACTCGGAGGCTTTAACCCACTCTTAAAATTTACATTGCCCAAAAAGTAAAAACCATTTCAATTAACAATAGTACCTATAATATAACCCATAAACTAACAACAGATAAAGGTAATTATTATTTTATACTAAAGTTAAAAGTATTATACTGTTTTACTTTAAATCGGAATTCAGAAACCTTGAAATGTAGACAACATACAGCCGTGATGGACGCTTATATATTACTGTAACCCATTTAAAATTATTTTTAGTAATTTTAGTATCAGGCATCAGTAAAAAATGCCAAATGCCATAATATAGTATGATTCTAAATTAGTACGCCATTTTTTCCCAAAATTACGAAACCTAAGTCTATAAACTAGTGATAAATGATAATATATATTGTCACAATTATTTCTAGCCAAATACAATTATGGTTCGTAGAAAATGTTTTTCAACAAATAAAACGAAAATGTATTGTTTTGAGAATTCACTTTGTATGTGCCTGCAACTTAGCCAAATATAGTGAGATCAGGAAAGAGAGCCAAGGCAACACGACAGTGCCAACAAAACGTTGAAACTAAATTCGAAAGTTATAAACCATTTTGGAACTACTGTTTTCGTTCAACACATTAAATATACTTTCACATTCACCCCACTATTTTTTCTCAAAATTATAACTGTTTAAACCAAATATCACATTTTTTTTTTTTTGATAAAACAAAGATGTCTTTGCATTTTATGAAATAACCACATGAAATAAAGAAAAAAAAGAGACTACCTCTCAATAACATTAACTTATATAATATTATTTCAATGTTTTTAAAGAAATAAATAAATATTTGCTCTTTACATTTTTAATAATAATCAATAAAGTCGAAGACATTACTTTAAAGAGTTTTTTTTTTATTTTACACTTATGAATAAAAAATATTAGTAAAATCTGTAACATAATACAAAATATTTGTAAATAGAAATTCCAAATGAGTGGTTGCTTAAGCCAAGTAACTATACGAATCTTTCTGTCCCTCAGTTCTCTCTAGATACTCTTTCTCAATAAGGATGTCTATACATTTTTTGATCACATTTACTCTAGGCTTAAATCTTGATGATAGTTGTGTCAATACTTCAGCAGTTAGCTGTTGGTGTTTCATTACTTTACGCATTTTCATTATCCTCACAATAGCTGCCTGGATCAACATTTTTCTGTCTTCCTCGATATGCTTGTGAGTGCTTTCTTGTTCCAGTTTTATTTCCTGTTTCATTGGTACATTGATATTTACACGAAGTTTTTTGTTTTTGTAACCAGTATACAGACTTACAACAGAATTGCCTTGCAAACACATATCATCATCTTCACACATTAATAATTTAGCCTTCAATAAAATCTGCAAGACTTGTATTAAATAGTCCAATTTTAATTGTGTTGATTCAGATAGTTGGTTAATGGTCCACGATTCTTGTAGGTTATATTGCAATAAAACAGCCATTTGGAAAGTTGATGCTTGTAGTGTGTAGCGATTTTTGAAACAGTTTGTGACTAATTCCCCTTTCGACATGTTATACAACCAGTTGAGTTTACGGCCTGAATGCTGGCCACTGTAAAACTGGGTGAATCTTTGAACAGAACGCTCCAATTCAGATGGCAGAGAAAAAGTGAGAAGGTACTGAAATGGCCATGAGCCGGACGACAGAACTTGTATACTGAAGTCGATATCATGAGGCATGTTTGAGGTGGTTACATGTTTTCTAAAAGCTTCATTTAAGTCTTTAGAAACTCCAATATCTTGGAACATACGTTGAAGTTTAGAAGTATACTCAAACCCACAAGCTTGTTTTAGTTTAGATATCATAGACGCTTCAGCATCATCACTAGCTGACATATGTTGAACTAAACGTTTGGCTAACATTTTGCTATAAAACTTTTGGAATACGTCTTTATCTTCGATGTACTTAAACATAATCATCACCTACAACACAAATAACACAACAAGTAATGAATAATAAGTATAAGTTAACATATTTGCAATAATCAAACAAATTTAAAACATTACCTGATTCAATGTATCTTCAAGTTCTGCTTCTTCAGGATTTTTACTGGATTTCTTCAACAGCAAATCACAAAATTTGGCTAACATCTCTGGACTTTTGGAACTGGAGTTATATTGTCTAGTTACTAAATTGTTGTTAATGAATCCACCACAGGCTTTGTCTAAAGCGGCTACAAAGCCTGAATCATTGTTGAACGATAGAGCAACTAATGCATTGTACTTTTTATGTACATCAAGGATAACGCTCACGTATGTTTTTGGATCATTAAAAGCTGCATCGCCACATTTCTCAATTGCAGTCTGACCTTGAGCCAATATGTGACATTCCAATATATTTTTTAATTCTCCAAGACCATCTTGTATCCGAGAAACTAATTGGTACATACGACCGAGATCTTCATTTTTTTCAAAGTTTAAAAGATTTTGAAATTCTGCATGGAAAATTTCCATGTGTTTACGAATTAATACTTTTTCACAAGTATCTGCAAGTCCTACTAATGTGGTTTCATGCAAATAATCTCTAACTCTTTTTTGTTCTTCTTGCAAACGCTGTTCTGCTTTTTTCATATATTCTGTAACTGTGTTATTGGCCAAAAACTGATCACTTTCTTTGATATAAAAACATTTTGTTTCTTCCAAAAATGTTTTTTCAAAAGATTCTTTATAGATAGTCAAACTTTGGCCTTTTATGGAAGGTTCCTCTTCATTCAAACCAAGTTCAACATAACAATTTATAACGCCACTAACTAAACGTGTGTTTATAGATTCTCCATTTCGTTCACGTTCAATTAATTTTAAAACAGCATTAGTAACTCTTTTATGTAATTGTTGGAATAGACAATCCCGCCATGCTACCAAAGCTAATTGATAAATTTCATAAATTCCTTTACGTCCTTCTTCACATTCTCTGCGTACCCAGTGCCGATTTAGATACGAACAAACACCATTAAGCACTTTTGAACTAAAACGATAATCTTCCCATTCTCGAGTATAGAAAGCAAGTACATCCTCGTCCATAAAATTTGCGCCACGGCTTATTAAATCTATTAAATAATGTCGCAAAAAATCTTTGATCCTACGATACAATTCAAGACCAACCAGTTGAGCTCCACCGACCTGGGCTGTTGAATTTGAATTACTTTTTTTAGAACGGTTACCTTGTACGGTTGTGTTTTTGTTGGGATTTAAATGTACGCTGGTACAGTAATTGTATACATGAGTGTACAGTTCCATATATCGAGGCTTGGGCATGGACTGTCGATTGTAGACATGCTCAATTCCGTTCTTCAAATCTCCCCATATGGTGTCGAGATCATAAATTTGTTTTGACGACATACCGTCGCGCCGACTTGACATATCGCAGCCGAATCTTTTTTTGTATTCTTTATGTATAAATTTATTTTACTAGGTCTATAATATCACAAAAGTGAGTAGGTTTTCTCTACGAAACCTTGTCTCCAAGAATCGCAAAACGTCAGTAGTTCATAACAAAGATCTCACTTACCCAATCGATTGATAATAATATTGTATATTTACAAACAAAAGGGGGCAAGCGTTATTGATTCGATAGCAATTTTCGTCTGATTCACCGTTTCAGACGTTAATTTTGCAAAACTAATATACGTTTAATTTACACAACGGGAAAAATGTATTTATACAAAATTTCTGAAAAATAATTCTCGAACAATGGGTTTGATAGGAAAAGTTTTTTGTTTTTGGAGAAACTGATGTAGTCATTTACAAGGAAATTGTATATTAAACATATTGCTCATAAAAAATAAAATAGGTATGTCAATAAGTAGTGATAAAAACAAAATGGTCGATGCCTTTCTCAAAATAAAGATGTATATTATGTCTTACATGAACTAGCTGGGGGCCATTTTGTGAAACGACAATGCAATTCACTGACAAACCTTTTTATTTTGTCACGATATTCTATTTAATATGGCCAAAGAGATTGTAGTGTAGATTCGTCATTCGGGTAACTTCCCGAAGTAGGTGAATCGCAAGAAACATTTTACCCTCAAACCTAGCTTCGAAAAAAATCCACCAACTAATAACTTTTCTTACAATCAAAATTACCAAATAAATAAAATATATATTATTATTTATACTAATAATTAATAATTTATAATTATTGTAGTCTAGAGACCATGGTACGTTTAGTCTAATATTGGTCATTTAGAAAACTGTATCATTTCTGATAAGAACTAGGAAATAAAATAAATTTAAAAATGATAAGAATTTAAACAATAAATAACAGTTAATACTTAATATTTAAACAATAAACAAACACAATTACCTATTTTCATTTTCATTTTTAGTGGTCAACATTTCTTTTGTTTTACTATGTGAAATAAAATCAAATTAAGTAAAAATGAAAGAAATTATGTACTCTAAAATAAAAAGCGTTTACGTAAAGGATACGGAACACAACGAAAAGGTTCCATTGGACATTGTCATCACAGTTGAACAGATTTATAAAAATAATGAAAAAGTACGAGATATCGAGTTAAATTATTTCTTATACTGTACCTTAATCTAAGATTTTTAGCTTTCAATCTTACTTCATTTGATATCCATTATACATGATAAAAATATATTATTAAAACTATTGTTTATTATGTAAATAATAATAATTTTTTATCAACATTTCAGACTATTTTTATAACTGCATCTGATGAAAACGACCCTCTCTTCTATGTCACAGCCAGTGTTACTGAAGATAGTTTTAAAACTATTAAAGAGTCACAAGATTTAGTAGTTAGTTTTGATCATTTTCCGAATCAAATTATACAATTACTAAATAATTCTGATACTGCCAATGAAGATCAACCTAAGTGAGTTTTAACCCTTATGTTTAAGAAATTAGGTTAATTAATATAATTATTAAACCAAATTAGCCTTTGTTATATGTTCTATAAAAAAATGATTGCATCAAAATGGGTAATCAGAAAAATTGAAAACTTGAACTTTTTAATAAAATTAAATAATAAATTGTCTAATAACCGGCCAATGTTTAGTGTTTACAAAACTATTAATATCTAATAACTCACTAAATTTAAAAAGAACTTTCATGCAATTGACATTATCTTCCTATAAGTATCTTCACAAATTCTCATCAACTTTTTTATTAGACATCATCAAAAAAACTAACATCTTGTATAATTTAAAATATCTAATTTCATTTTATATTTTTTTTAAAAGTTCAAGAAGCATTTGTATTTGTATAACATTATGTTAAGGTCAATTAAAAAAAGAAATTTGCCTTTCAAAAAAGAACATGTTATTTGAAAGGTGTGTAATTTTATATTATTCTATAATGACTATTTTTTCAGATTTAAATTGTTTATTCAAGATGAGAACATGGGCAATAAAACATACAAAGGTTGTAAATATGTGTTTAAAATAGTTGAGCTGAATGTATTTAAAAATCTTTGTCACTTGGCTATTGAGATGTCAAAAGCATCAGATTCTGATGTTGCCAAAAATATATCCAATAAAATGACAGAAATCAAAGTATGCCTGTGTTCAATTAATTTATAGATTAATTATAATACTTGTGTTTAAATTACCTATATATTTTAGAGATTGGTTGAATCTAAAGATAAAGAAACTGACCAGTTAAAACGAGAAATTTCAAGATTACGTAATGAAGTAGCAAATAAAAATGATGAGCTGGAAAGGTATCAGCTATCTATGAATGATGAGAAATTTAGTTTAACCAGCAGACAAGAAAAAGAAATTAGTCTATGGAAGGAAAAATATGAAAAAGTTAGTTTTTTATTGGCGTTACTAAATGGTTGTTTAAGATATTATTATTATTTTTTTATTAATTATTATTTTTAACTATAATAGTTGGACTTGGAGCGTATGAAACAGTTAAGAGAAATGCACGAAGAAATGATTGCTCAACAAGAACGAATTAGTGCGTCTCTTCAAACAACAATAAAATCTCAAAATAAAGAAATACAGTCTTTGTTAACTCAATCGGAAAACAAATCACAACAAATCAGGTAACTAACAAAAATAAATTTTTGTTACCTAAGTGGCCACATTTAATTATATATTATACAACTATTTATGTACTTGTGTAGTGAAATGTCAATTCGGATCAAATCATTAGAATCCCGAAACAAAACATTTAGTGAAGAAATTACATCAATGATTGCAACTAATGAAAGTATAATGTCAGATAGAGATATCAAGAAAAAAATAATCGAAAGAATGCAAAACCATATTTCAACGTTGGAAAATGTTTGTAGAATATTATATTTCTAGAAAAGATTTGTCAATTAAGTTATATTATGTTATAGGAAATTCGACAAAATACAGAATTACTCCATAAACAAAACAATTATTATGAAACTTCAAATAAATTACAAGTATGCATATTTATTTGTTACTAATACAACCTATGAATTTCATTAAAAAATGCAATCTTTCTAATACTAGGAACAGTTAACTAATGCTTTAAAAGAAAATGAAGAGTTAAAGAAACGTAATGAGGATCAAACAAATTCTATGTGTGATGAACTTAAACAAGCAAATAAAATAATAAAAAAACTTCATGAATCTAATCAAGAACAGACTCAAAAAGTAATTATATATTTTTATTTATTTTATAGACTATGATTATTTTTTTTTAATTTTAGTTTATAGACTATTAAATTTATTTAAGTATTTAATTTTAGAGAGCAGGTATTTTTGGGAATTTATGTTAAGGAGTGTCTGTCTCTTTATTTTTTGACATCCCAGTATACTAACTACATCACAATTTAACACAAATCAAATTTTACAGGGTGATTCTTTTATCATGAACCACTCAATATATCATAGGGTTAAATAAGAAATTGAAATTTTTTATATCATATTATTTTTATACAATGTGATCTCAATTTTTCATAATTTGTTTTGTTTATTTATACCCCCCCCCCCCCCATTTTAGTATGTTTGGTAGCAACTTTTGAAACTTAAATGGTAACGCATAATATATTTTTTTTTTTTATATAAAAAAAACATATTATGTTAAAACTTTTTAAAGTTATAAGAGTTTTAAAGTTAGGATGGGGGGAAGTGCGGTTGGGAAATGTTTGCAGATAAAAATAATACTACACTCCCCTTTCCTCTTGCCATAAACTTGAAACTGGGTATCGACCAGTCAAAATTTTTAGTTCATTATTCTCAATTTAAAAAGTTAATATATGTTACCATTTAAGTTTCAAAAGTTGCTATCAAAAACAATAAGTTGGGAGGGGGTAAAAACAAAACATTTGAAAAATTGAGATCACATGGTATAACAATGGTATGAAAAAATATATTTTAATTACTTATTTAACTCTATGAGATATTGAGTGGTTCGTGATAAAAGAATCATCCTGTATATAAATTTAAAATTGTGGTCAACGCAAAGATAAAGTCTTATATCTTTGTTATTATAAGTATACTACAATTAGTTGGCTTTTTGGGGGAAATGCCTCGGTCAAAAAATGTACTGGTTATATTGTTATAAAATGTTTTTGTTTTTGTTAAACTAAACATTAATAATATAATTACAGCTATTGTTCAGCAAGGATATTGCTTTAAAACAAAAAGAAGAAATTTGCCGATATCAAAATGAAAAATCTCAACTCTCTAAAATACTTGAAGAGAAATTATCTAAAATTGACAGTCTTACAACAGAATTAGTTGAGACCAAGAATCGCTTAACTACTGTGGAACAAAACTTAAAAGAAAAGGAGGAACGTATAACAAGCAATGACAAAGGTATTTTTTGCTTTTAAATGATTATTTCTATTTAGTAGTGTTGGGTGTAATTGATTACACAACAAATCAAACTTATAATCGATTAAAAAAAATTAATCTTTATTCAATTATTTAAAAGCAATTGGTAATTGTAGTTATATTTGTGCATGGTAATCATTAAACAGTAATCTTAATATTTAGTTATGATGTTTTTTTTGAAAGGCTATTTTATTTAATCTAATTTATTTATTCTTTAACCCCCAGGCATCCGCGCTACGGCATTCCGTTGAGTGGGGGTATTCGGGAAAAGACGCGGGTGCCCAAGAGTTATGAATATTTAGATATTTTAAAACAATAGTAATCGCTAGTTAAAAAAATTAATTATTAATCATACTGTAATCATGATAATGTTTAAAAAAACTCTATATAAATAACTCTATAGTTAATAAATATATTATGATTACTGATTAAAACTATTAATCATAATCCTTAAACAGATTACAATTAGTTTAAAACTCGTATTTAGTTACCTAACTTTAATGTATTTTTTTTGTTTAAGTGATCCATTGGTTGAACAGTAAATTGAATAACTGTGAGATCACTGCAAAACCAAGTAACTCCGCATTGGAAACAATAAATGTGACTAAGAATAATGTTAACGCCATCAAATCGATTGGAAAATTTTCAACCTCTACTCCTGCTACTACTGATTTAGTAAGTAAATTGACCATTGAATTTATATTAGTCAATTTAAGTTTTCTTTGTAATAGGATGAAAAAAAATCTAAGCCTAATGGACGAAAATTAAACTTAAAAATTGGAAATTCATCTACCAGGTAATATTACAACTATTATTATAGTTTAATTTAATAATACATCTATATATATATATTATCTATATAAGATATATAATCTTAAACAAATGTTTTATTTACTCTAAAGTGAAACATTGACCAGTAATCCCAATATAAAAAGAAGTGCACCAATTCGCCGTGTCATGTATGGACCAATTAATTCTGCATATTTTGCTGCTTAAATGCATTTTTAAAAGTACCAAACATTGTGACGTTAACACTATGTACTTGAGCGGTGGTGTAGATAAATAATTTTTTCCAGAGGTATTAGCAATACAGATGTTTTAATAATTTATAAAAAATAAATACCATTTTCAAATTTTATACACTTTTGATATTGTATGTATTTTATTTAATTGTAAATAAATAAAAAAATGTATTATTAAGACAAATTAATAGAACAGTCGGTTCTTAACAATGTTTTTAACACAATTAATTTGTATTTATTCTGTATAATTAATTATTTTTTATTTGTTTATTGTGATATTAATGAGGATTATAATATATGTTATCTATATAAATATTATTTTGTACTGTAATGACTAGCTGTATTTTGAGAATTATAATTATTTTGATTATGACAAATAACACCATTAAACATAACTTTTAGTAAAATATTTTTTTTATTCGTTATTGCTTACATAATTAGTAAAAACCTAATTCATTTTACTATTTTAATCTTATGTATATTTTTAAGATACTTGTATAATTGTTTAAAATTATAAAATTAGGACAGTATTTATTAAAAAAGAGATTATAAATATCTACAAATTATTTTTTAAGTGATAAAAATATAAATTTTAAACATTTATATTTAAGAATTTGAATTACTATAAGAATAAAAACTTTTTTAATTTACGGTTTCCTATTGTGTTAATTTGAAAGTGATTTTATCATTGGCAGTTATAATAATTCCTGAAGATTTATGACCTCCCGATCTCACCGAGCTGGCTTTTATTATTAATTATATTGGGTGAATATACCAATGTATTATTATAATATACAACAAATTACAAATAATTGGATGTATAAAAATTACAAATATCAGTCGATCATGTAGAGAGCGGGAAAACATTACGTTCGTTTTTCCATGACATTGTTGGTTGTTCCATCATTTCTTATCAGCATTTTTCACGATTCGACGTGTTTCCGGTTTCGTGTATACTGTATAATAATAATTATGAAATGTGGTTATTGATTTCATGTCAAAATTTCAGTTTGTTATGTCTAGTTTCGCTTAGTGTAAAATCTCATAATTAGGGCTCCCATTATTCACTCGAATACTCAAAGATGATGATATAACATTATTTCTTTAGTTTTATACACAGTTCATACGATTATATTAACGAAATTCCTACAGGTTTCTTAGTAATAGTTATGGATTTGAGTGACGAAGATGAGTTTTACGACTCCGATCATAGCGATACCGGTGAACAAAGCTTACATTCCATGTTAAAAAGGACACTCTACAACAAAGATACAGAATTTAATGAATATGGCGGTGAACCCATCGAAGGCGAAGAAGAGGCATTGGACAACGTACAAGAAGAAATACTGGGTAAAGTAGATGACGGTACAACACAAGACGATGAAGAGATCTTGGGACCTGTAGACAATATCAAAGAAAGTTCTGAAAAAGATGAAGCTATCATATTAGACACCGCAATTGAAAAAAAACTAGACGAAGCTGAAGAAGTTGTTTTAGAGCCAGAAGTTATAAGTAAATTAGACGAAAAAAATTTTTTCGATGATATTGAAAACGACGATTTTGAACCATTGAAGAAAAAACAAAAAGTCAGTCATCAAGATGGCGAAAATAAAAATCCTCAAACAGCCATTGTCATGCATGTACCTCAATTCATTCGATGTAATAAGGGTGGCCAATCGATTCAAGTACAGTAAGTAACCAATAGTTAGTGTATACAGCTAATACAATAGTGAATAAATACATTTATTTGCTTTTGTTTAGAAATATTGTTTGTGGAGCAAATATGGGCTGTCGTCTTGATTTGGTCAGAATAGTTATGTGGACAAGCAACTCCGAATACAATCCCCAGCGTTTTAATGGACTCATAATGCGGCTACGCACACCAAATGTAACTAGTCTTTTGTTTCCATCCGGCAAAATGATCATGCAGGGTGCAAAAGATGACCGAACGGGCAATTTAGCGTGTCGGAAAGTAGCAAAAATTCTAGAACGACTCGGACATAACGTTTGTTATATTTTTTATTATTATTATATATTGTGATTGAATATTGACAGTGCACTATTAAATAATTATACAGGTCAAGTTCTGCGATTACACTGTTCATAATATTGTCTGCACGTGGGATGTGGGTTTTCCTATCATGCTGGAAGAACTCAACAAAGCACATTCCCAATTTACAAGGTTAGTTTTTTGTTTTTAGTAAATTAAAAATTGAACCAATTGGATTTATCGTTTTCTAACTGAACTTTTCGTTCTATTAGACATTATTTTGGAAATAGTACTTAACATTAAAACGAGATTAATTGATTAAATATTTCTATAGTCGGCGCCATGAAAACTGGCGGGTGATTGTCGCGCACCAAGTGGATTTTTCTCAATAGTTGTTGTCAAACCATTTGCCGTGCTTTTTAAAATATTTGAAAAAATTATTCTTTTTTTCTAATTTTTAATTCCGTGTTCATATACAGATAAGATATAAAATTTAAAATTGTACTATAATGCGCCATTATTCATGGTACAGATGTCCGTGCTGCGGTGGATAGTTGCAGTAAAAGAAGAACCACTGTCTACAGACTTGGTGAGGTCGGGGTAAAACGGCAGCCAACCGCCAGATTTCATGGTGCCGACTATAGTATTATGTATCAACTAAATCATCTATTTAAAATAGGGCTTACGACTTAAATATTAAATTTTTGGAAATTAAAAACTCATGAATTGACTAAAGTGGTACACAGCTATGATCTTCAATCATATTTTAAACTCTCCGGTGTCTTAGTGGAAGAAGGTTTATGACTTGTGACTTTATACATTTCTACCGAAAATCAAAATCGGCCATAATCTCATTTAGTCAAAAATCGTGACTTATATTGTTTCTGAAATGAATGATTCAATTCTAATTATTTAAGATAATATTTGCGTATAATTTCATAACTCTTTTATGTGAGCAAAATATTGACTAAACTATACTTGCTATAACATGTCTTGCTATACTCTAACTAACCTATACTTGCCGCACAAAATAAAGGCAATGTTTTGTACATCTCGAATGAGGCATCTAGCACTGCCGGACCTGTTAAACCCTCTCTACGCGTCCGGTTAGTGATGACGATGGTTGCCGACAGCCATCCACTATGTTGCACATGGAAGGATAATTAGACGAAGTGTGACAAGGGGATGGCGAGGTGGACCGGATTTCGTAAGACAAAATACCTTGTCAGTACCTTCTAGTATTTCTAGAATTTCTCAAAAAAACACTGTAAAATAATATCACTAAAAATTGTATAAATTATATGCAATAACTAATAAGGATTAAGATTAGAATATGTGGTTACACATAAGCAGTGTTAAAATTCTATATAGATTGTTGGTAACCCACTTTTATTAAAAATAATATTCCATAAATTATGTGATCTTTAAATTTAATTTCAGTTTCGAACCAGAAGTATTTCCAGCCCTTATTTATAGGATGGTTAAACCACGAGCAGTATTTTTAATGTTTGTTAATGGAAAAGTGGTACTCACAGGTAAGTTTATTTATTCTGACTCAACAACACTGTACTCAAAATGTAAAGTTCATTAATTTTTGCAGGACTCAAAACAAAAGCTGATATCAAAGAATCTGTATTTTTAATGCAGGATGTATTGAACAGCTTCAGAAAAACTTAATTAATTTTTATTTTTTTTATTAGCTTTTATACTCTTATTTATTAATTGTTGTCTTTTTTTGTATGATTGTTGATGTAAATATTTTGTTTTTTAAGCATAAGTTGTTTTTATAAAATTAAAAAATGATTTTGGTTCCTAACATCTTACTTTATTTTACTTGACTGTTAATTTCTAAGTAGGTAGGTACTATATTATTGATTATATTATAATCTGTCCCAAATATGACTAGTGCGCAATTAAGTTTGTTTTGTTAACATAGGAGCCAACCAAGGTGATGTGTGGCTCATTAGCCATAAATCATTTTATTTGGGATAGAATATGTATATGTTTTAATTGATAACTCATTATTATTATTTTAAATGTTAATATTAAAAACATTTACAAAGTATCATTAGTATACATATTTGTATATTCAATGATCAAAAGAAAACTTTTGTGTTCTGCATAAAAATTACTTAATAATACTAGTTTAAAGTCAATATTGTTATATATATAAAAAAAAAAAAAATTTGAAATAATTAAATATTTTTGCTGTATTGTAATCTGCGTTGCCACTTATTTTATGTTTTACAAATAAAACCTTTTTACAAATATAAGCTTAGTTTATTTTACTCAGCTCTACTTTTCTTTCAGATAACAAGCCTTAAAGGTTTAACCTCGCCATCATGAGATGATTTCTTGACGAATTAGGTTTTGGGAGAGGTTGTCAATCTGTCACCATAGAGGCTGATGGCGGCTCATTTTGACCAGATAGTTCCCCACCCAGCATACAGAATCACAAGGTTAAGACAAGGTCTAATTAGTGACAGTGGTCATTGAATATATGGGCACTGTTGCCTATGTTGTAACACTCATAAAACCATTCAAAACATTTCATATCTTCTTTTTCCTGTATTTAATTTATGGATCTCCTATACTATAAAAATATACCTAGTTCCGTAAAAAATGTTTTAAAACATAATTTGGTACTTCCACAAAAAGCTGGAAAAAATGTCAATCAGCTCTATTATTTTTTCAGAATTAAAATCCCATCATTCTAAGTAGACATAATTTTGTCAGGCTTTATGGTCAAAATTGGTCTCGTGTAGGAACAAAATGGCTCTTATATGTAGAAAAAAATGTATAACTAAACAATTATATGCTGAACCATATACAAATTAACATGAATTTACGCTGTCGAAATAAATTGAACGAAATTAATTAATTAAACCACTTTTAAAAAAAATATTGTTTATAAAAAACCGCAAATCCCCAAAACGAAGTATTAGACACAATCTTATAGGAAAATTCAAGGGCTTTTCAACGGTATAACTCTCGTTTGTGTAAAAATATATGATAATTTCCAAAGCTACCAATACACGTGTTTTAATAATATTTTATTTAAGGTTTGTTATATTTTTTGCTATCAATATAATTTTTTATTGAAGGGATATGATCAAGACGGGGTATATTTACCCTATAATAATAATAATAATAATAATAATAATAATAATAATAATATATATTTAACGCCCCGAAGGCAAGAGTGTAACATTCAAGTAAGTAGATCACAGATTAATAATTATAAATTATAAACAGTATCAATAAAGAAAAACATATTTATAACAACGATAACAAACAAAATATATAAATATGACAAAAATTGGACGATTAAGTATAAATGAGCCTAAATCAGTTGTGGGTAAGAGCCAATTTTAATTCAAGAAGGGAGTCATGAAAGACATCAAAAGAGAGAGGTAAGTTATTAAAGGTAATACAAATGCGGTTAATAGGAGTGAAAAAACTATAATTTTGGCGGTGGAAACTAACATGAAAAGTTGGACGTAGGCGAGAGTTGTAGGAAGGAATATGGAATAACAATTTATTTAGGAGTTCAGGACTATCGATAACATTATTAAGCAACTTGTGTATAAAAATTAAATCATTTAACTTACGTCTATATGCGAGCATATCGAGATTTAATATATGCAGAACGGAATTTCTATGTTCAGTTTGCATATTAAATTTAAAGCTTACTGTTCGCAAAAAACAGTCTTGGACACGTTCTAAGTCATTAGTAAGTCCGCTTTGGACTGGATTCCACAATATGGAGGCATATTCTAAAATTGTACGAACTAAACAAATATACAGGGTTCTAATGCACATTAAATTTGAAAAATTATAACAATTTCTCCTAATGAAACCTAATGTTTTTAGTTTTATATTTTGGATATGCTGATGAAATGATAAATCATAGGAAAAATAAACACCAAGGTCTTTCAGCTGTTTAACATTTTGTAAAACTCGATTATTAATTAAGTATTGGGCTGAAGTAGGGTTACGGCAACGGGAAAATGATATTTTCATACATTTTTCCGCATTTATTGAAAGACCATTGTTCAAACACTAGTTTTCAAATTTATTTAAGTCGTCTTGGAGTTTAGAACAGTCAGCCTCGGATGTAATTTCCATGTACATTATAACTCCTTAAATTGACAAAATGCAACATAACATACGAGGTAACCATTGCGGTGACGAATTTCTTATCAATGGTTACGGGGCTGATAATTTTTAGTATTATGTTATTCTGTGGTATTATGTTCACGCACACACCGAAAACTATTTGCAATTCAGAGACCAGAATAGTAATACGCATGTCGCAATATTACTGATTAGTCGTGTTATATTTTTAATTGTCATTGTTATAAAATTAAATAAATAAAATGGAAAATACGTATATTGCAACCCTTAACGATTTGTGTAGTGCATATTCTTTGTTAATTGAAAATGACAAGAAAAATGTATTATTGGTGGTTACTGAGTCTTTAGACAGTTCCGAACTAGAACAGATCGTTCAACATTATTCCAATAAAGTCAATATTAAATTCACTAATCCAGCAAATATCAAAACAGGTACATAATATGTAAAATATTTGTCTTCCCTTTATTTAATAATGATTTAACTTCAAACTGGTATTTATATAGATTTTAAAGAGTCTTCATTTGATGCTATTTTATCGGGAGTTATTGGATCAGGTGTACAAAATGATTTTGACTTAATAGCCAAGTATGTGAACCTTTTATCTGCCGGCGGTAAATTAATAGTGAAAACCAATGTAGATGCCGAAGAACAACTAGTAAAATGTTTGAAAATGTGTGGTTTTTTGAATGTAGCATCAAGCATTACTCGAGGAATAGTCGAAGGCAGTAAAGCTACTTATGCGGTAATTTTATAACATATTTTATGTTTAAAAAACAAATATTTTAGGCATTCTATTATTTTAGGTTGGCTCAAGTGATAAAGTCACTCTGAAAACAGTAAATATGGGTAGTGTAGCTTCAGCATGGAAAGTGGACGGTAATGATGATGTAGAAACTATATCGGAAGACGATTTATTAGAGGCAGACGATTTAAAAAAACCAGAATCGACATCTCTAAAAGGTAAGAAAGAAATAGTACATAGAAATAGCAGTTATGAGTTGGGCAATCATCTAAATTGAATATTTTGTTTATAATGTTTAGTATGTGCTACAACCAAAAAAAGTAAGGCCTGCAAAAATTGTACTTGTGGGTTAGCTGAAGAACTTGCTAATGAAATTGTAGATACACAACCGGATACAGCAAATGCAAAATCATCCTGTGGAAGCGTAAGTTTAAAAATTCCCAAAATATTTTATTCAAAAGAAATTGTATCAAGTAGTAGTTTTAATTTACAGTCTGCCATTTAACACTTTATAATTCAAACACAAATTATTTTATTATGACATTCACCAAAATTCATCACAATAATCAATAACAACTTAATTATAATTTATTTGTATATTAGTAGTGTTAAAAGATATTCTAGGTACTATTTAAATATATATAAAATTTTATGGTAATAAATAAAACTGTAATCAATACATTTTCAATTTCAACAAATTATTTTATTATTTGAATAAAAGTGGGAATAATAAAAGTATTATATATAAAAGTATTTAATTATATTTTTTTGATACACTAAATAAAAAAGATTTGGGTTGTAAATTGTTATAAATAATATCTTGCTCTAACGATCAAATAAAAATAAAGTTACCGTCTACTTAAAGCCTAACGGCTAAAATTATAAAACATAGAACACGCTTTAGTCTGCTGGCTCTTGAATAATGATTATTTCTGATCTGAGGCGCCTAGAACACAAGGGGTATAAGTGACGTTTTTACAAAATCTGAATTAAACTACAAATTAGCCAGCAATTTAGCACAGCTAAACTACAAATTGTCCATTTTATTTGGTGGTAAATATAAATAAGTGAATTATTCATCATTTGCTGCGATCTGGTAGCAAATCGCCTAACCCCTAACGAAAACGCCATATGGATGTAAACTTTGAGCTTGATATTCTTGAAATCAATAAAATGCCACTTATACCCCTTGTGTTCTAAGCACCTCAAGTATATCATAAGTCAAAACGTATTCGATATCATAATTTTTTTCTCCTTGCGAAATATTATGATAGTGTAATCTTAATTTTATGTTGTGGCCAAATGTTTTTTCAGTAGTTTTTAACTATTTGGCCTTAATTGGTTTATTGGCAACATTCACCTGGTCAGTTTTCGGATGAATTTAACCATTCATTTAATTGTGCTCGTTGTAAAATTATTTTAATTATGAGGATAATTTGTACCTTTCATGGTTAACTTAAAACAATATGAATATATGTAAATTTATCTATTATATAAAATATGGTTGTGAATAAGTAAATAATAAGTTTATACAATAATCAAATAATTTAGGTATTTGATGCACTGAATATAATTATTATTATATATCAATAATTGTTCAGATCTTAAGACTTGCCACAAGACATTTTATACTTATATATATGTTATGCCCCTGTGGGTAGGGGCCAGAATACACACCTAACCGAACCAGATTTGCAATGACAAGGCAAGGCCTTTAGTAGAGAAGAAGAAGATATATTTTATATAAAAAAAACAACTGCTAGATTTTGTGCTACTTTTATGACGCTATTTCGTGTCGTTTTCGATCTGGGGGACCAAGGCTAAAGCGTGTTCCATTCTAAAAATAAATCTGATCAGGAATTAAATTACTGTATAATCATATTATTTTGATAGTATGGTTTTTAATAAAATAAAAAACACTTATTATTAATGAATAATAAAATTTAAGCACTAGTTGAGCAAAAATAATAATAATAAGCTGTTTTGCTGGAAAGAATGTGTTCCAATTTGGAATATTTTAAAAAATCTAAATTTTGCATAGTAAATTAGATGTTTCTAAGAGTGTAGAGCTTTCTGACACTTTTTATTAAAATATAACACCAATTTAGTTTAACTCTTGTATGTATAAATATATATTATGTAACCTGTTATAATAAATAATGATTAAACATTTTTTCTAGTGTTACTTGGGCGATGCATTTCGTTGTGCTAGTTGCCCTTACTTAGGCATGCCAGCTTTCAAACCAGGTGAAAAAGTACAACTGGCTGGAAATTTACTGCAAGATGATTTTTGAAAAATATACTTATGTTTTTTTTTAACCAAACGATATAGTTTATTTCTTATAATTTTGTTAAGTATTAGGTAAGAATAATTTAATAAAAAATAAACCAATGTATGTGATTTTTTTTATTGTTAATAACTTTAATTTCCCCCTAAAACCCCTAAAAAATGTTAAAGCTTAAGCATTAAACATCTTAACATTTATTAATATCATTAATTGATGATAGTTTACAAATGGGAAATAATAAAATACTAACATGACAATTATAAACTAAAAAATAAATAATAATATCATACATAATAAAATTTAACTTGGTTATATCAACCACTTAAGTTTATTGGCAGTCTGTCAATTGATGTTTTACAATAAGTATCATTACACTAATATTGTGTATACATTTTTTCTTATCAGATTTTAGTATTATTAAAAAAGTTTAAATGTTTTTTTATTGACTTTGTTCAGTTCATACAAATCTCATTTAAATTAAGATTGAAGTGTTAAAAAATCTGTATTATATAAATTAAATGATGACAAAAATTGATTTTATACCTTATATCTAAATATCGATAAACTTTTTTATCTTAAAAATTACGTGAATTCATGTTACTTAAACTATTCTATTAGCTATAGCGAGAAGATATTTTATTCTAAATTATATTAAGGATGTAAAATGTTTAAAAATTATAATAGTTTAGTATTAATCCATCTAGAGAATGATATCAGGTGTTAACTTTTTGTTTATTGAGTGCAAAACTTTCCAGGTATGTATGTTGGGTGGGTTTATGTAAACGTAGCATATTTAACGCATCTTCTAATTTGAACCATTTACGCTTACGACCTGTAAAAAAAAAAATGTTTTATTAATTGACAAGAATTACATTTGTTGGGTTGTTTTGTTTATTAGATAACTTGTGACAAACAAAATTTTCTCTTTACAAAGGTCTATATAAAGGTCCAATGGACAGGAAAAGCAAAAAATGGCATATGCTATTTTTTGTAAAGGCAGTAGACTAGATAGTCAGATTTAAAACAATTGACCTTCATTAAAAATAGCATTATAAAAAGAGCTGTTAATAACCAACAAATAAAGTATTAAATTTCAAAATGTTGAGCGGTATAATCTAGACACTGTTCTTTATTTTCACTATCGTTATTATTGTTAATATTTCACAACAATAAACTTCAGGACACTTAACGTGTCCTACAAAACATCAAAAAAATAGTGATCGAGTTGTTTAAAACTCCAGGCTAGTTAAACATACTTCTTGCACCTCATATTAAATGATAAAATACAGAAATTATTAGTAGGTTTAACCATGACAAATAAAACAATTTTATTTATGCATAAAATAATTAAGATAATAACTAACCAACTAGAACAGGTTTTTAAATTTTAAAGTCCATATCTACAAATGATTTTATACAAAAAACCATCTTTAAAGTATACTATTCTTTTTTTGCTGTAAACAACAACAAAATAGTTTGAATTCCACATTACAAAACACAATAATATGTTCATTTAGCTGTAATACAGGGTGACTTTTTTTATGATGAGCCACTCCTCAATATTTTATAGGGTTTAATAAGAAATTAAAATGTTTTTTATTTCATATTGTTTTTATACAATGTGATCTCAATTTTTCACAATTTTTTTTGTTTTTACCCCCTCCCAACTTAGTTTTTTTGACAGCAACTTTTGAATTTTGAATGGTAACGTATATATTTGATTAACTTTTTAAATTGAGAATAATGTTGACTGGTCGATAACCAGTTTTGAATAACTATTTTTGAAGTTTCAAGTTTAGAGCAGGAGGAAAGGTGGAGTGCAGCATAATTTTTATCTGCGAACTTTCCCTCCGATCCTAATTTATAAACTTATTTGTATTGCTTAACACTTGGCTAGTTTCTAAATGAAACATGACCTTTCTGAATGAGGCATAAAACAGACATGGCCGCAATGTAGATACCACTACTTTGATTGTTTGACTTTTTCGAGAGGGAATCTGAACCTTTTACTTTTTTCTGAGTTCTCTTCTTCCCATTACCCACATAACTCCTAGGTACATTTGATAATGATGTTTCATGCTTAATTCAGAAACTGGCTAAGTGTTAAGCAATAAAAATAAAAGAGTAGTGTTGCTCATGAAAGTAGGAGTGAAGTGTGGTTATGAACTAAAGAAATAGCAGACTTGGCCAAAATGTAGATTCACTACTTTGATAGGCTGACATTTTTGGGAGGGGATGTGAAACTTGGCTTTTTTTCACTGTTAGGTTTTTGTTGGGGATATCATTCTTTTTTGCGGGCTTCAGTATTATAGGGGAAGTTTTTTTTTTTTTTACGAGGCATTGAATGGATATTGTACGTTGTAGATTTTCTCTTGTTTTTACGTGTTATTATATTAACTACGTAGATAAGTACATAAAACTACTCTTTATAGTGAAGCTAGAATTTATACAAGTAGCCACAATGCATAATGATTAATAATTTATTATTAATAAACCATAATAGTAATTAAGTTAGTCATAATTAATATAGTGTAATTTAATTAATATATTAGTGCAGCTAGAATTTATACAAGTAGCCATTATAAATCTAGTTTAGTATTATAAACGTATAAACGAAACCTAAACGTTTAGGTGTACAATTACACTTTATAATAAACCACGTGACAAACGTAACAAGAACAAAGAACACTGCTACACTTCCAAACATATGAACACAAATTAACAAAGACACAAACTACGACCAAATGATGGCTGACTAGAGACGTGGGCATCAACAGCGCCCTGTACTGGCTGTAGCGGCGGTGAAGGTCATTAATCCCCACCTAGCACATTAATTTTGAGAAAATTGCATTTTTCAGATTTTTCCCTTTACTTACACTATAAGACCCACCTTTGTGTCAAATTTTACGTTTCTACCTATACGGGAAGTGTCTTATAATTTTGATAATGAGTGAGTCAGTAAAAAAAATGCAAATTTTGAAATCCTCCCATTTTAAAACGGCTAAATAATATGGCCTCAATTTTAGACAGTGTCCTAAACTATTTAAACTTAATTTAGATTTCAAATTTTAAAAGCCTATCTTAAGAAGTAGCAGAGATATGAGAGTTCGAAATACCGGGTGAATTGGTTCGTGTAAAGATACACTGGCATTGCTGGAACTTGCCGTGCGCTCAGATCAGTGCTCCTCGGACATGAACACATAAATTTTATTTATATCTGTAAACAACATTTTTGGAGACTTTTCACTGACATTATTACCTGTTTCCTGTTTATTGATGGTAATAATCATAAAGTGGGGAAATATAATTGTTCTACAAATCTTGCTTAGATATAGATAACTTCAGATATTATATTATTATGTTATAATATATAATATATCTCACCTATGCCCAACGAGTCTTCCCACTCGGGTAGCTCTTCTGTAACTATCATCACAAACACATCTGTCCTGTGCCTCCTTGTATGGGTCTGTAAAGACAAAATGTACATTCAATAAAAAATTCACACAAAAAACATTGTTTATGTTTATGCAAACAAACCCTATCTTCAAATGTCCCAAGTCGTCTGTGTAGTCTGCCCACGACGCCGGCTTCCTCAACTACTTCTCTAATAGCAGTTGCACTCGGTTCTTCTTCCGGTTCAATTCCACCACCTGGCACTATCCACTGTTCCGGTCTACTAGATGAAGTCACCAACAGCACCTTCAAAAAGTATCATATACCTATATATATGCACAATAGTCTATAGTCATTAATTAAATATACATTTTTTTAAAAGTACTTTAATGAAACAGTTACCTTAGTTCTCCTTGAACTAGTTATTAAAAATTAAACTACAAGATGTGGAAATATTTGTGAATTTTATACTTAATATTTATACATTAATATAAGGCTTAGTCTAAAGCTGTGAAGATATAGGTAAGATTTTTAAAATACCCATGACCTAAATAAAGGTTGCTACTGTCCACTAACTAAAACTGTCGCATAGTCTTATGTACCTAAAATCATTATTTTGTAAATAGCTTTACTGAATAAATAATTATGTTCTATTTTTTATATATAGTACTACTCTCAATGTACATATACAGAATGTATACAGTCATTGTGTTAATTTGTTTTGATTTGTATTATTTAACAGTTTACAAATGTACAAAGTATGATTTTATATTATAATAGTTAGTAGATACAAAGTGCCTGTACGCTTTTAGAAGAAATACATAATTAGTTATTATTAGACATGAAAAAAAAGTATATGTATATTTTTTGTTTAAAATTAACGTTGTCTACCTAGACTAATGTAAATTTTTACAGCTTAACCTTGAAACAAATCCAAAAAAAGTAAGCGGAAATTGTCACACAGCTTTCAACAGAAAACTTGTTTAAACAAACTAAACATAAGAGATAGTGATAATGGTAATATTTTACATAGTTTTAAATAAAGCAATAATTATCTTATCTTTAAGTTTAATGCCATATATATTTAAGGTAAAATTACTTTCCAGAAAGTCATAGTAGGTAGGTAACCCTTTTTATACATAAAAAACTGATTATATGAAACTCCCATTCTAAAAAACAAATTAAAAATATGTGTCAGAAAAAACTAACAGATTAAAAACAGAACAGTTGATTGTAAACGAAAAAATGGATATTGATTCCTTTTTCTAACAATGTTGTAATAAGTTGAAAATTCAAACTAATGTATTAACACAATATAAAATATTAACAAAACATTCACAAAAATATATAAAAGTTAGGAAAATTTGTTTGTATTACTTATATTATTCTATATTTTTAGGTTTATAAATGGTGTTAAATAAAACTGATGTTTTTTTTTAAATAATTATTAAGTAGATAAAATTGTATGTGTACAAAGTGTATCATTAGCGACTTTTTTATAATATGTTTCTTTTATCAAATAATAAACTGTCATATTACAATAGACCTATGTAAAGCAAAGTGATTAACAGAGATAGATACCGGCCACAGCTTTAAGTTATTGTGATATATTTTGTAAAGTATCAAAAAAGAACACTGAAATAATGTTATACTTGTACAAGTATTTACAAATGTGAAATACTAAAAGTACAAAGAACACATTAAAATAGCACAATCAGAACTTTTTCAAATAGACGAGATAGATTGCAATAATTACTATGTCTTAGTTAAAAATTAACATTTTAAGATTAAATACAAATTTTAACTATTAAACTGAACTTATTAGGAACTCTCAGTAATTGGCATACCCATAGGCAGTGACAGATCTTTCACCAATTATATACAATGCATATACTAATATAAATGTATTATTAAATGAAATAAATCATTATAGAATATTATATCTAACATTAAATTATGCTTAGTAGGTATATACTAACTACAGCATAGCTGTATGTCAGCATATAAATTATACTTTTTTCAAAATCCATATGCAATGATAAAAGAAATTTAAGGTATTGAGCAAACATCACACAATATAGAGCTAACAAACTAAATTAATATGATTGGTTTACACTGCCATAAGAGCATATTGGTAAATCGGCATTTTTTTAACATAATATAATAACAAAAAGATATATTAATGTACATATATTAAGGTTTTACAGAAGAAAAAATAAACAACTGTAAGAGGAACAAAATAACAAGTAAGCGGAAAACTTTACTTATACCGTTCATACAATATACACCAGTATACAAAATTCATATTGTTCTGTGTTAAATAATACTAATAACAGTTTAAATTAATATAATTACCTCATCGGAATCCTTGCGTACACATATACAAGCAGCTCGCCTGCGAAATCCATCTTTGTCGTAAATGCGCGTCGAATTCGGTTTGTCTTTCATGTTTAATGATAACAGGATAATGTCACAAATAAGTAAAATCTTCAGGACCTTATGCTTAAGTTATATGTGGTATAGTAATAGGGAAATTTAATACTAAATATAGGTAGCTGTATAAGTGAAATGTTATACTACGTTTAATTGAATATTACCATTTGGGTGAGATTGACATGTTGCTTTAGAGAAAAAAATTGTAATGATATGCGAGAGGTAAGAAATCACCTAACCACTCGCTCACGTCCGACTTAACTTAAAAAAAAAATTGAATAAATAATATAATATAAAATGTATGATATTATAATTGCAACGTTTGTGCGTATAAAAATTTGTATTTAAATAATTTTATATAAAAAGAAGAAGTCCTTCTTAATTTGTCTGTCGTAAAAAGATTATATTCTTATATATCAATAAACAATTTAAAAAACAACGAGTGAACAGAAAAAATCAGATTAACAAATTAGTAATAATAATAAAAAGAGCGAAAGGAGGAAAATAAAAGAATAAAAGGAAAACGGGGAGATAACTAATAATTAAGAATTAAACAATAAGAGATGCATTTGACGGATGTCGTCATTTAGAGACATTGTAATGGAAACATTAGACCGTCGTTTGACGTTTGCATTATTGAGATTATAATATTTTTTCGTAGTTCGCCGTAATAGTCCGCCGTCCGCACGATCACCATAATCGCCGATTATAATAATATAACAACATATATTTATATATATATAAATAAAAGGTACACAAGTATAATGGCGCAAGTGTTAATGTTTATGTGTTACAGCCGATAGTGATCTCCGTCGGTTTTTAGTATGTGAGCTCAAGTACTAAAAAAACGTCCGCACACAATAACTATAACCGTGTACGATATTATGCGTTCAAAGTCCACGTACGGATCAGCTCCGACCGTGTGTGCCGTGACCACGGGCCCCGGACCGGGTAAACGGAAAAACAAACTGATCACACAGAAAATATGAATAAAAAAAAAATAATAATAAAGCCACACACAATCGGCACAGCAGTGGCCGCCGTGAACGCGTTCACGATTCACGGGCAAACGCGGCACTGAGCAATGAGAGTGCGCGAAAACACGAGCCAAGCCTATAAGTCGGTTTCGCCCGCGGTTGATCGAGACAAGCTGAACGCCAACGCACAGCGCATGCACACCAATCGCTACTGAAACGCTCGACGCATACGCGACATGTATGTTGATATTATTACTATATTCGATACGTATATACACATAACATAATGCACGATACGTTCGGGCCACGGCTGCCGGCAACGCGGTACCTTTATACTGTGTTTTTATTATTATATATATGTTGAATGTTTATGTATGCATGCACCGGCCGCCGGGTAAGAACCGCGGCGCTTCTGGTGTCGCGTTGCCGAACCAACTCATGCGTCGCGCCACCAGTTGAAAACTTTAAAAAGTAAAAACTAAAGCACCTATCGAATAACTATTTCTCTAAGTTTCGACAAAAAATCGGACAGACACGTCGAAATTTGTATCGTTAACGCTGATGATGTGGAAAATCGTGTCGAGGGGAGGTTCAAGACATGGGTGGCCAACCCCAAATAGTAAGATGAAGGCGAAGAAGAATGAGAACAAACATTTTATTGAATTATAATTAAAACACTCCATTATAGGAAAACTAGGCTATTTAACATATAAACAAAATTTCACAGTGGATTTGTTTTTAATGTTGAAATGTTGATAGTTTTTTTTTACTGTGTCAGAACACAGTAAAAACAGATACATACAGATATGGATGGAATCCATGATTCAACTATGATTTATGAAATATAGAAATTTTTTGGTAAGGGGCATTACATGTTCTATTAAAAATAATGTCAGTAGAACCAATAATGTGAATACATGAAGAAAAACCACACTAAAATAAAGATTTATGTCAAATTAATTTTCTGACTCTCAAATTAAATAATACATTACACATTTTGTACCTATATATTATATTCATTAGGAAACAGGAAATTAATGTTCTTTCAAATTATTCGTTCAAAGCTAAAACTAAGCATAGTGAGAGCGAAAAATTTACATTGGTTTACAGAAAACTGGAAAGTATGTCCATATTGATTGCTAGTTAAGTTTACGTCAGAGCAGAGTTTAAGATTACAGGCTCTATATTAATGACGTTTTTCATTAGGTTTCAATTAAAACATGGCTAAGTATTATTTAGCATTGCGTTTTACTCGGTCCATAATTTAAAGTAAAAACACCTAGTATAAAGTCAAAAGTTATGATATTGAATACGTTTTGACTTATGATATTATACTTGAGGTGCCTAGAACACAAAGGGTACAAGTGGCATTTTATTGATTTCAAGAAAATCAAGCTCAAATATTACATCATATGGTGTTTTCGTTTGGGGGTTAGGTGATTTGCTACCAGATCGCAGCAAATGATGAATAATTCACTTATTTATCTTTACCACCAAATAAAATGGACAATTTGTAATTTAGCTGTGCGCTTAACTCAAATTTTGTAAAAATACCCCTTGTGTTCTAGGCGCCTCATTTGAAAGATGATTAAGAATTTAAAAGATTTTCATAGAAGTGGTAGGTCAAAATTGTTCAATCCTGTTAACCGGTTACCCAACCCAACCCGTTCTTCTCAATAAATTACACCTATTTTCTACATGAAATTAATTTAATAACCCCAAGGCAGGCTAGCGCTATTCAGTTTGCAATGTCTTCATGGAATAATCAATTTATAATTTCGATACCAATTAACATTAAATTGTATAGTCGCTTATTAGCGGTTAATGACAACCTACGTAAACGGTACATTTATAAGTTAAATCCGCGTGGCTTCGAGCACATTGTGTATTTTATGATGGATACATTTTATATTATTATCTTACGCATTTATTGTTATTTAAATTAAAATTGAAATGATTATTATAATCGTTGGTTAATGGTTATTAAACGAGGCGTAGTAGCCTGTGCTGGTTTTATTTATTGTGCATTTTTTATCCTTTAATTTATCGTTAACAGTCCGGGTTTACGTGTTTGTTTACGGCGCCAGAGTGGTGCCAAAAACTTAGGTATGTGTATAATTTGCGTTTTAATTAATTCATTGGCAACTGCAGGTATAATATATTATTATGTATTTTATTGCTATGTAGACAACAACAAAAAATATGCAGTACTAATATAAATACTGAATAATTATAATGATCGACTATCGCAACAAGCCGCGGATAATAATACACCGATGATTAATCGATGATAACACCACTGTTGTCTAAATATGTTATACCAAATACTTGTATTACATTGGTAAGCGGCTGGCTAAATGTCAATGTTGTGAAATATATTTATTTTTTTCTTTCCATGTCCAATGAATCCTACGATCGCTTGTCCCACTCGTCACACTTCAACAATGACATTTACTAACATAAGGTAAGTATTGGCGAAATTTGCATAATATGTTATTAAGCACAATACTATTTATAAACGTATGGGACGAATAACGCACTATACAAATAATATGTATACAGGGTGAGGGGGAACCGACGATCGTTACCACTTACCCGGGTAATCATTTTACAACTAGCAACTATAGAAATAGTGTGAATTTATAACATTTTTACTTAAGTAACACACAATTTAATAGGTACCGACTATACCTACTTTATATTATTAACTAATATAATACTCGAAAAAGCCATAGGAAAGTTGATTTCTAAAGTTAATGATCTTTGTGTCAATCAGTGAATGAATTTATTCACTGGTCCATAAACGTAAAATGAAAAAGAGCTTAGGAGTCTATGTATGTTTTTATAAAAAAAAAATTTCGTATTATTGTTATTAGGCTACTTGATTTGATTAGTTTGGGAATGTAATCAATCTACGGACACCATTTAACGACAGTAAACTGTAAAATGATCACCCTATAGGTTCAACTACGAATGTCTATGACAGACGTGTATGAATATAAATTTTATGTTTAATAATATAATATATTAGGTAGGTATTCGAGTTAAATGAACGCAATATATTTTATTACAGTGACTAGTGAAACGTGAAAAACTATAATTAATTCAAACGATTATATTATTAACATATTTAGGCTTCATTCTAATGATCCTAAGACTTTTTCTTTTTTATGCTACACACGTGGTATGAAATTTTAAGGTTTGGCTGACGTCTAAATATATATATATATATATATATATATATATATATATATATATATGCGGAGATCAACCACAACATACGGACTCTCATTATCCTAGCCTCTCTTTTTGATGTTTACCATAATAGGTATTACGATGTGCATTTCTCGACTATAATCATCATTGAGAATACTTACATACTTATTGTAGCTCTCTCTCTTTTTGTATACTTTCCTGGCCTTAGGAATAGCTTAAAGCTGACGACTAAAAATGTTCAATGTTGACAAAAATTGGCTATGATTTGCATGATAAATTAAATGGGTGCCTGTAGTTGTTGTAATACCTGTTTACTTTGTTATGGTTATAGATTGTACTGCAAAAAATGTATTAGTTCGAATATTATAACGTATGCCAACAACTAAATAACAAGTTGTTGAGGCAAACAAGAGAGGACGTATGATCGTCATTGTTCAATATTTTAAGCTTTATATAATTGGTACTCCATCAAACAGGTTTAGGCAGAAGTCATAACTATTAGGTTTTAGGCACATGTAGTTATATGTGATTTATGTTTGTAAACGTCTAATAAATGCAATAAATAAAATATACTTCTTAGATATCTTAAAATACATTTTTATAAATTTATATACATATACCGGGTGAAGTACTCTTTTAACACTCTACAATACTTCTCTTAAAATTATTGCAGTTTTGTAGTTTTTCTTTTTTTAAACATTTTTGTTTATGTTATTGTACAATATTATAAAGTTACTAAATTTTAATCTTTTTTAGTATTTTTAAGAGCTCTATCTATTTTTGAAACTTAAATTATAACAAATATATTTGATCTAATCTGTGGTATCGCTGTCGAATTGTTAGATGTGAACAGAAAATTGTATTTTAAAATAATACATTAATCGTTAAATTTTTTTACGATTTTCCTGATTTTACTTTTTAGGAAAAGAAGGAGTAGACTTTTTCAACTTATAATTCACTACTAATAATTGTACTTCATGTCTTCATTTATTGTTTTACTCTCTTTAGTAAAAAGTTCCTCTCTCATCTATAAAAAAACGAATAGTTAACCTACATCTTCTCAACTTCGCATCAAGTGTAAAAAACATTAAAATTGAGTATATTATTTTAGAAATTATATTGGTTGATTTTTTATCCTTTAAACTAAAATATATTATAATTTATATTCTTTTGAAAATAAGTTGCAAAATATTGATTTTACACACATGACTACTATTATTAAAATTTTAATAGAAATCACGGTTTATTGATAAGTAGAAAAATAAAATTAAGTACAATCAATATTTATTATAATTCACCAATAAACGAATAAGAGGTTCCGGTCTTTTCGATTAGAATTTACTTTGTAATATAACGAGTGGCACGTCAGGCAGGTATATCACATGTTATTAATAAGTTTACAGTGGTTAGCTACTAGCATGTCATTTCATTAAAACTGTGTAAAATATTGCCAACAAGTAAATTATATTCATGGTTATCTACTATTAGATATCTATATACGTAAAATATTGTACCATTTCATTATTTCAATTACATTTTATCGATTTGTCCAAACCGAATGTTCGGTAAACCAAGTATATTTAGATTAGTATCATCGAGTCTATGTCCAGGAATTGTAATAGCCCTAAACTGTCCCAGGAGGTCACTGATTTAGTGAAGATAGGTCAAGCTATTTTAGAGATAACTGATAACTCCGAATATACAAATCTGTTTTTGAGTTATTCGTATGACGGGCGCCGAAGTGCATGTATATAATAGTAGGTACTAGCTATTACGAACAACTACCTTGTAATCGAGCACTAACTAACCCTAAACTTAACTACTGAATGAGTAAAAATCCCTATTAAGGAACAAAGGTTCTAGAGTTAGGATCAAACTATGGTAACCGTCAAGGAGGCCGGCAAATTAATTTTTGAGTTTTTTTTGTACTTATTCCTTGGATGTTATTTTAGTTAGTGGCAGGAGTGTAATATAATATATTTATATTTATAT